GGGGGGGGGGGGATTCTGTCTCACCCTCTTTAAAAAATAAACCCCACAATGGAAATACATACATAACTAACATAACAGTCATACATAAATATCAACACCCACACCCACTGTGTTTACAAGCAGTGCACGAACATGGAAATTTTGGCTGATCTAATCCTATCATCTCCATTATTTTAGAAGTAATTCTTTTAGCTCTGGTGATACTAACTTTTAATATTTATAACATTTAAACAGTTTGACACATCGAGCTGATATCTTGATTTTTATTAACCTTGTCTGAGACAAATATGTTAACCAATATATTGTGAATCTGCAGTATTTACTTCACTGCATTTATTGTTAAAGAAAAACAACAACAATAAATGCTCCTGTCCCAGAGGCAGACGGGGGCCTGAGTTTGATGGCCCCTGTGGTACGGTGGTGGTGGGGGACATGATTACACCATCAGCCTTTAATGCTGACATGGGGGGGGTCCCACTAGCCATTCACAAACTCCCCATTACTCTCTGTGCGCGTTAATTAGTGACCAAGTGGCCCGAAATGTCGATTTCCCGGGAGAGGTCCTGCCTGGGTTATCCGTGAGCCCGGCACTTAATCCCCATCCGAAATCTATATTCCGGTCTGAGACGAGCACTTCCAGCAGCCGGTGACAGCAATTCATTCATGGCCTGAGACTGACCCCCTCCCCCTCCCCCTCCCCTCGCCTCCCCTTCCCTCCAGGATGCTTAAGTCACCCCCGTGCTGAAGTGAGTTTACAGGGGCCTGGGAGAGAGAGCACTCAACCACCTGGCATCACCCCCATATTTGCCAAGAAGGCAAGGGGATCCACAGACTTTGGAACAAGCCAAATGATGACTGACTGCACAGTCAAGATGAGGGACAGAAGCGGTCCTGGTGAATGCGGGTACGCCATTCGCCGAGACAGAAGCGGTCCTGGTGAATGCGGGTACGCCATTCGCCGAGACAGAAGCGAACAGACTCTTACTGGGACTTTTCTCCTCCACCAGATCGCAGGCGCAGAGAAGATCAGAGTCGATGGAGATGGGCTTCTGCCGGATCCAGAACTTGGTGCTGGTCTTCTGATTAGTGACTGGGTCTATCTCCACCTTCTCCCCAGATACACCTACACAGGGCCAGAAAGACCTGGTTAAGATACTTAAAGTCTGCAACATCACAACAGTTTGCATACTCTTCACCATCATGATAAACGTGATGTTTAATCCCTTTACATACATTTATTTAGAAGATACCTTTGCCATAAGCGAAGCAGATGGCGTACTAAACACAAAAACCCAAAATAAAAACTAATTTCTGTCCCACAAATTAAGTCAAATAAATAGCATAAATTCAATCTCCTTTTCATATGCTACAAGCTCTCAGCACCACTGATAAACTCATCACAGAGAATCTCCGAGATCATCTTTAAATGCATCATCACATTGGAAACGTCGTCCTAAATGAATCGATATTGGGAAGCAGACTGTAACTCGGGCCAAACGGGGGTCACACGGGTAAAACTCAGTGGGAGGGATTCTGGCCAGTTACAGCACTGATGGATCTTTCTGTAGCATCTGCTGTGACAAGGCTCAGTTAACAGTGTTGGTTTGTCTGGGGAAAGACCAACAGACTATTCAATCATTTCAGAAAGGTCTGCATTTTGTCCGTTCTTCCGACAAAGTAACACTCCTTTATGCATTTTGTCAGATTACAGGGAGGATATTAACCTGGAGAAAAACCAGGTTCTACATTTACTTGACTCTGCTTCCGCCAGCGCTGCAGTATAATTGAATAAAACGAATAGCCAGGCAGGTATCAGACCGCTATGCTAACCTTGTACCCTGGTGCGCTCACGGTAAGAGGCTCCAATAGGACTGGATGGATGATGACAGATGACCCTACAGTAACAGCCCAGGGACTCATACGGTCTGCACAGGATATAGGTGCACAAACTTCAGAGCAGACTGCACATATATACACCCACGTCACTGCAGACCAGCCTCTTATGTACCAGCCCCTTCACTGAGTGTGGACACCCCCATAACCCCCACCTAACCCCTTTCAGCTTTATTCTATTGGCTGTCCCATCAGCAGCCACAAGCATTACATCATCTTTCATTCCACCAGATGTGCTAGAGAACACACTGTCTGGCTAAGTGACGATCAACAGGCTGTTAAACTGCGCATCCAGAAAGAGTGTCGTCTCCCTCTATAGCTGTGCGGACAGATGTAGTTGAGAGAGCAGTATTTTTACACACGGCGGAGAGCTGCGGAAAGCAAGGTTCCCCCAGGAACAATGAAGTGTGGGAGATCTTTTCCATGGAAGATGTCATATCTACTGGCCTTTTGAGATCACTTGGCTAAATCGGTTTTGCACGGACGGCAGAAACGGCAGCCTCCCTTAAAGCCGTATGGGGCCCTGTCACTGACACTGACGCTTACTTGGGAAGGTGGGAATTCTGCCGTTAACTTTCACACTTCATGCTGTACAGCTGATCTACGGATCTGAGTGCATATCGAGTCGTCCTGTCCATCTTGGCCAATTAGCAGCCCGTCCGTCTGTTTTCGCCTCAAGACGAGAGGCCATGGTCTGCAGAAAATCATCCTTCATCCATCGCCCGGGGCGATTTTCTTTAATTGTTCAAAAAGCTGTTTGTGGTCTGAAGAGCAAATGTAAAACCTGCTGGCGCAAAAGTCACACACTAGATCAGTGATTACTGATCCGGTCCTTGGGGGCACAAAGACAGTCCACGTTTTTGCTCCCTCCCAGCTCAGCAAAAACGAAGACTGTCGGTCAGGGAGCAAAAACATGGAGCAGTAGTGGTTCCCCAAGGAACAGGTTGGAAAACACTGCACTAGACCTCAAGGTATGACGACTACAAGCTTATCAAGAGCTTTAGGCTAAACTGTTCGCAGGGTATTTCCCAAAATGTCACCAGAGCTCCACTGAGGACTTATCAGAAGCTACCCCTATGAGCAGAACATCCAGCTTTGGATATAGGTACAATAGCAGGCTTTGGATAAAAATACTATACGACGTGATGGAAATCCGTCCATCTATCTTCTGGGAGCTTACGGTGGGAACCAAGCAGGGGAATGACCAGCCCATCACAGGGCAATGTAATTATAATAAGCACATTAAACGTTCAGGTTTACATCATTGATGATTTCAGAACACTATCATAAAAGTAATCGGGAGAGGGAACAGGGGAGCAGGTAGGGTGGGTATTTAAAACACTAACTTGGCCTTCTTGACTCTAATCGTGATACATAGCATAACAGTAACCCAACATGCATATTTCCCTTTAAAAACCCCTTATCTTCTAGATCAGCCGTGTCGGGCTGTGCTTTTGAGCATGGCAGGAAGGAGGACGGATGAACTGGCCAATCGGCACGCACGCCACGGCACCCGGAGCCGGGGGGATGCCGCTGAGTGCCGCTAACGCGCCTCGCTAATTTGATAGCATTTGTCAGTCAGGTAGCTCCGCTGGAAAATCACATAAGGCCGTTCCAGATGAACAGCCGATAGTGACACAAATTAAAGGGAAGGAGCAGCGGCGGAATATAAAGCGGGGATGACACCCAAAGTGGCTGGTGATTTATGGGCGCGCCGAGGCGGGCGCCAGGCCCGCGTGTACATTAGCACCGCAGCTCTGGGTCCATTTAGCAGGGAGATGCCAGTACATACATCACCGCTCTCGCTGCTGGCCAAGGTCACTCCCCACCGCATCAATCTTTTCCACAGAGGCTACATCGCAGTTGCTGTTTCACCCCAACCCCCCCCCCCCACACCACATCAACATCTCCCTCGACATCAGAGATCCTCGCTCCAACTTTGGCAACCCCCTCGTCGCTGTCCGGCTGAGTCTCCTGCAACCTTTCCGCAAATTCCACACCTCGTTCCGGTACCTTCCATCGCAGCCCGAGGCGGCTCTCGTGCCGACGGGGACCTCGATGCACGGCGGACGTATTTGCATATAGAGTGAGGAGCTGCTCTGAGGGTAACGTCGGAATGGCTGTCCGTTTTAGCCGTGAAGACAGCCTGGACGACGCGAGTGATGGGGTGTGACGTGAAGACGCTGATCGGAGAGACCACGCGGGCGACTGGGCGGAGTCACAGACGCTCTGTAATTACAGCAGGCTGCCACGTTGTCCCCGCACGCGCCAAACATGGACGCCGCCACCGCCATCCCCACCCCGGTGCCAGATCTCCGCTCATCTCCTCCAGCAGCACAGAGACGGCATCCAAGAGCCCGGCGGATGTTTCTGGATCGTTCAGCGTCCCCCGGAAGGTGAGGGAGCTGGATGGTGGGGGCGGCCCCCACCCAGAGCTACATGTCAGTAACGTCCAACACCCTGCCAGGAGCAGGAAGCACAAAGAAGCAAAAATAACAGCAGCGCGGGTCTAGGGGTGCCCACGGCGGGGTGGAGGGGGGCACAGGGCTGTCATTTACTGTTTGTCTCCTTTGCTTATACCACCTGCATTTGATTTGGCCCCGGTCGGCAGCCCCCACCCCATCACCCGACCCCCTCCGCAGGTCATGCGGATGAGATCCAGCCCCACGTTTCGGCCCAGCCGCAAATCCCAACCCCCACCATCTCCGTGTCCCGACTTGGTGACAAGTTGATGGTGCCGAATTAACACTCCCACCCCGCACATCTCAAGTGACACATCGCTGAGCGTGGGAGGGTGCCGGCAACAACCTTGTGACCCCGGGGCACCCAGAAGAGTTCAATGACCCGTAGGAGACGATCACTGTCGTCACATTTTCCCCCCAAACCGAATCGAGCAGGGCCATCAGAAAGACATCTCACCTAAGATATATACACACTCATCTACAGAGGTGGAGATTTCAGCTCCAGAGAGTACAATTCTAGACCAAGATTTTGTTTCAACCAACCAGTTGAGTATGAAGAGTCACAGTCACAGAGTACTCAGCTGGTTGGTTGAAACAAAATATTGGTCTGGATTTGTTCTCTCTGGATCTAAAATCTCCACCTCTGCTCATCTCACACCATAATCTTTTATCTCGCCGGCATGGGACAGCCAATCGCGGCAAGACGGGGACTGAATCAGCGGATACCAAGCTGGACGTCCGTGGTGAAGCGAAGCTTATGGATCATGCTGATCTTGAATGACTTGTAGTGGTGGCTACTCAGCATGTCCTGCACGGTAGTGATGTCAATCGGTGGGTCCTCCTCTGAGCTCTCCTCACCCCTGGAACCTTTGCAGAAGCAGAGAAGACCCATCCGTTTTAACATTACCATGGTTCCTACCGTTTTTGTCAACAAACAATCCAGACACAACAAAGCAATCACATTTAAAGAAACCTTAAGACTTATCTAACGCAATAGTGATGAAGACCGCTACTCACTGTTCTCTCTGACGAGGCAGAACTCTAAAGTGCTTTGGCTTTCCAGAGTGCATTCCAGATCCACAGCTACGTTGGGTTCCGTTTGCTTCTCCAGACGGTACATCGGACCTGCGAGACAGAACCAAGAAACCGCACATGGTTACATAGGCCAGCGTGCCACTCTAACCTCCCGCCTGAAATCATTACCCACATTAACAAAGCCCAATACCCAAACTGGCGTTTTCAGGGCCTGTGTCCGTTGACTGTTCTGTAACTTACAGCACTATTCACAGATATTGGGGTGATATTAAGTTCCACTGTTCCATGGAAAAATGTTGTCATACTCATACAAATAGTGACATTTTTGTCAACCAAATAGATTTTACATGGAAAATATTTGAGATATACAATCCAATGTCAGTTTATTATATTAAGTAGCATAGTATGCAATTACTTATTTAAAAACCATCAATAAACAGCCCATTTTGCCTATTTTTGATCTGTAGAATTGACACTGCGCTCTCCCTTCTCAGATAATTGATACCACTGGCACTAAGCATCATCGCTGTGTTTTTAGTAGCATAAGCAGTTGTTCATGAAGACAAACCACCAGTCTCATTAACATATTTAACTAATGGATGGCTGACGGGTCATCAGAGTTCAGAGCCGATCATTATTTCGATCTGTATGATAAATAAATCCCGGTTCTCAGGCTTAATTTTTGCTGGTTTATTTATATATAAAGCAGCTTCAATGACGGCCACTGCTTGTACTGTACAGTAATGTGCAGGGAGAAAACATACATACACATACTGGTCTACATAACCTTAATTTTTATTAAGTTTCCATTGAACTTGTTTTCCTATCTAATTATAGTTACATTATTATGGCACCTAAAAGTAGACTCTGGGGGAGGGGTCAACTGAAAGAATTAATCCTCAAAGCATTAAATGTTTCCTAGAAGCACTGATACTCGCCAGATGCATAAGAGCTTCAAACAATAAAAATTAAAAAATACACAAATGACAGAGAGAGGATAATGAACAATTTTAGAATTGATTAACAGTTACGCATCCCCAACCACTAATCATGTTAATTGATATTTTGTTTCCCTCTCCAATGCAGATAACGCAATTAGAGCTAATGGGATTTTAATGGGCGGCAAGGAAGCGGAGCCTGGCCGAGGCGCTCGAGGGGGTGGGGTTCATTGGGGGCCTGGCCCCTCCCAGGAGGCGGAGGGCCGCAGGGTTAGGAAGGAGCCGGTAGCCAACCTTTAACGGCTATGCTAATTGAGAAGGGGGGCATCTCATTTATAGTAATGAGCTAACAAAGTGCCGGTGAGAGAGACACAAAAACACAATCGCATCTAATAAGTACAAGACTACAGATACAATTTAGCATGAGTAAGTAGATAAGTTAGATATTAGCCTTTGAAACCCACAGGGGGTGTGATTATTGTGCAGCTAGTTGGTTGCACCTACTTCCCCGGGGTTATGGGGTTACACCAGGCAGTGACCGACAGGGCTGAATATTCTCACCCAGAGTGGGTTACAAAGCCGTGTTTCCTCCTCCTCAGACGGAGACCGGATTCTGAAAGGAGCCGGCATGCATTCGACAGTCCAGCAAACTGGAGAGAGTGATAGCTAAACATATAAAGGATTAAAATCAGAAGTGAGCCTAAGAAAGAGCATTGAGGGACCCCCGTAACGACAGGGGCAGTGTGCTTGAAGTAAGTTTCTCCTGTATTTGCAATTCCAGATTTATATGTATCACTACATACATAAACCTGCTCACACATTATGCAAATTAATAACTTGAATTAACATAAATTGGCTTCGTACTTGAATGTAAAACGTAATGCAACTAGGCCGTATAAATACTTACATAATACTAATTAAACCAGTTGAATGTTAACTGAATTGAAAGAGGTTAAAGGTTACTTTCCGGTCATCAGTTCAGTGCCTATAGTAGAGTCTACAAACATACACGTCGTAAAACACTACTCCGACTCTGCACGGGGGCAGACCACAGGCAAGTTACCCTTTCGTGAGTTGGGCGGTTTCCTAAACGTCACTACTGTCTGTGGGGGTATTCCTACTGCACAAAAGAAAGTATTAAAAACCAAAATAGGTGGCCAAAAGGAAGGATAAAGGAAAGTTCCGTGGCTGCGGCTGGGTAACTGGAAGGAGCCCAGCAGTCCCTGGCAGGGATTAAAATGGTGAGGGGGTGGGGGTCTCCCCCCCACAGCACACAGCCAGATGGGACAGGTCTCTTCATTTTTGCGTGAGGAGCTACAGGGAGTGGGGGGGAAAAAAACCCACTCCCGCTATCGTCGCGGGTTCCTAGTCTTCAGTCAGCCGAGAATCACGCGGAGCAACTAATTCACAGGCACCGAACGTGACCTTTCTTGTCCCCAGCCGCCGCGCTGAGCTCCGTGGCGAGCTGGCGCGGGGAAAGGACACGGCGTGACCTTCCCGGTCTGCGGGCTGTCCCTCCGTGTTCAGAGATATGAAAAAAGTGCAGCGTGGCTGGTATGCCTGTGTGTGTGCGTGACCGCATGTGTTCATTTTTGCACTTATTACATTGTGGGGACCAGATTTCCCCACAATACGATAAAAACCTATTACTTTTTACCTTGTAGGGACATTTTTTCGGCCCCCACAAGGACAAGCTCAATTTTATAAAAATCTGTGACTGCAATAAAAAACCAAAAATGCCAAAAGGCTTGTATTCTGTTTAGTTACTTATGGTTAAGGTTAGGGCTGGGTAGGGGTTAAGGTTGTCATTGTTGGGATTAGGGTTTTGCCCTTAGAAATGAATGCAGAGTCCCCACAAAAATATACACCTAACCTGTGTGGTCAGACAGACAAAATTTATGAAATAGAGGTGTTAATAATTTTTAATGGTAAAAATGTTACATAATGCTTACACAATAAAAAGCCATTAATGTACGTGTTTATTCAGCTAAAGAGTGAGGGAGCTGGCCAACATGAGTAAAATTAAAGAGACATAAACCCATCGGAGGTTACTAGCCACAAACACACATGTAACAGCCTGTAAACTTGTAAACGATTTCACGGGGAGAGCCTGTGACAGCCCCCGCAGCAGCTGTCGAAGTGGGGGCACGAAGACCGAGAATTTCTAACCCAGAATGCACTGTCTCTCTGCTTAAGAAGACCTTGGCCATAGCTATGAAGGCAGCTAGAAGCAGAGGTTGGCTAATTAGGACTATTTGAGAGGCCGTGAGCTGTAACAAGGTTAGTAGTTCACTCGGTAACCAGAGAGAGGGGGAGCGGACGGTCAAGCGGGGCGACCCAGTCCACCGGCTATCACGCTACGCTATTTCTGACCACTCAAAGACTGGGAATTTGACACATTCCCTGATCAAACAGTGCTTTGAAAAAAAAAATCACACTTTCACGCCCTTTTAAGAGAAAAAACACATCTGATTTGCACCATCCATATAACTTGTAATTCTCACTTTCTCACCTAATGTTTCAGTTCCCTGCGACTTGAGAAAGTTTAAGTCAGCTGTTTTATTTGATCTTTTTTTAACGCTTGGCGGACAGATTGAAAGCGGGCGGGCAAGCGGAACGGTGGGCAGGGCAGGGATGGGCGGGGCGGGGACACGATGCGGGGCACCCCGGGGGGAGCCAGGAGGAGGGCCTGTCTGCAAGGGTGAGCTTTTACCTGGCAGAGATGTCACCTGCCTCTGAAGAGGAACAAAGCTGACAGTCTGGGACCCGCTCCCCCCCCCCACCCGTCGAAGAGATGGGGGCATGTCCAGACCTTCAGGCGGACACAGCTCACATACAAATCAGCCGTAACATTTTGCTCTGATCTGAAACATCCTCGCTCCCACATTATAAAAACTATTACCTGAAGCCCCCTCTCCATAATATAGACAATAATAACTTAGGAAAAACCATCAGTCTCTCGGGGGGGGGGGGGGTAAGTTCATACATTTAAATTCAAATTTACCTCCAGTTAAAACCCCTGTCGTAGTATAGAACGGACACCCTTCAAAATTTACCCAGAATCCTCTTCTCTTAGCGTCAAGAACAACATCTTTCCATGCATCGTTCCCCGGTCAAAAAATGGGAACAAACCTGGAGAGGGATTCGTCCCTAGTGTGTAAATAAATAATCGATAGCCATCTAAATGTAAATGAGGAAGTAGCCCTCGTGCGAATGCCACGCTGGCCTCTCGGGGTGTCACTTCACTCAGCGGTGGCGGGAACACAAGACTCGGACCCAAGCAGCCTCATTTAAAACTCTCCCCCCCTCCAGACGCGCAGGGAATGAGGTCGACGCCATAAAAGTACAGAACGGCTTCCAGGACAATCCAAAACGACAGCGGCGAATGAAATAGAGGGGCGATGCAGACGCAGACCTCCACGGGAGACATCTGCTTGGATATCGCTACCGAGACGTCAGGAGTTACATATACCGCTATAAATACATCTACAAAAATACCTATAAAAGTTTAATGGACACAATTTCACAGACCTTTTACCGCCACGTCGGTACCTAAACAGATCGATGCTGTTGCTCTTTCCGAGATGTGTATTTATAAAACGGCATTAGCGTGGTAAACGACAGCTGGGAATACAGAGCGGGAGATTGGACCACGACCAGGGGGCAGTGGGGTATAATTTCCCCAATTAAAAAGAAAAAATAAGGCTATCAGCCCCCTGACTGCAAACGGTACATTGCTGTTGCGGCCGTAACGTCTGGTACTCCGAATTTAATTCCGGATGATGAAACCTGTGACTTGAGAAAATAATCTCTTTATGGTTCTGTGAAAAATCAGTTATGAGCTGAGCACAGCTGAACACCTGGTGGAGCAGGAAGGCAGTTCACCGTCCCGACCTGCGGCCATCGTTACCGCCATCGTTACCGCCGGGGTTTGGCGTCCTGACCTGCGGCCATCGTTACCGCCTGGGCTCGCCGTCCCGACCTGCGGCCATCGTTACCGCCTGGGCTCGCCGTCCCGACCTGCGGCCGTCGTTACCGCCGGGGTTCGGTGTCCCGACCTGCGGCCATCGTTACCGCCGGGGTTTGGCGTCCTGACCTGCGGCCGTCGTTACCGCCTGGGCTCGCCGTCCCGACCTGCGGCCGTCGTTACCGCCGGGGTTCGGTGTCCCGACCTGCGGCCATCGTTACCGCCTGGGCTCGCCGTCCCGACCTGCGGCCGTTGTTACTGCCTGGGCTCACCGTCCCGACCTGCGGCTATAGTTACTGCCGGGTCTTGCGATCGGAGTGAGAGTGCGATGTGGTGCCTGCTGCTTGGCCCCACATGAACAGGAGCTGCCCCTTCTCCTGGCTGCCAGCCTCCCCTTCCATGACGAATGTGACAAGCCCTGTGGACGAATTGCGCCCTGCAACTTAAAAAGAATCTCAAGCCAGTTTGGGGAACGTGACCTCGGCTCCAGACATGGGTCTCCCAGCTGTCCATTGTTCGGCAGCTCTCCTACAGATCTTTTGAAACATAAAATCGTGGGGGAATTCGCTCTACAGGGATGATAACAGATCTTCACACAAACGTGCAATTTGGGAGCATTACAGCAAATCTGATAATAGCAAACACTAGTGGTGCTGGGAGAGGCGTCCCTGGCCCAGGAGACCGTTTGAAGCATTAAGAAATCCTTTGTTCTGGACACCTGGTGTGAGATTCTTAGTGAGAGATGACTGTGCTGGTCAGTATCCTGATAGAAAAACACTCTCCCATGGAAACTGTCTTAAATTCATGCAACTTGACCAGATTAAAAATCAGATTGAAAAAGATAAATGTGGAAAAAAGAAAAAATATCAAAGAATACTAAAGTGCTGACAGTATGAAGGGCTCCTGATGTTTCTACATCTGTGTTAGGTTATACTCTCAGTATGAGTCATCTTTCCTAAAAGAGAATATTCTCTCTCCCTCCTTTCCTCCCTCCATCCCAGACAGACAGAGATGCACACAGACAGACAAACACAGACAGAGACAGACCGTCAGTGAAGTTGAGAAAATGTCCTGCTGTGTTAATCTCATATTCAGACTTCTGCTCTCGAATTTCTTACCCTTACTAATTACGCTCACCTTCAACACACAAATGTCAGTTCAGCTGGGAAATCCTTCAGATAGGTCAAAGTCCAAGGAAGGAAGAATACACGTTCACGTGATGCCAAGAGGTCAGGGAGTACGAGTCCAAGCAGCACTTTGAAGAGAACATGGGCAGAAGCACGCAAGCATTGTCCTACACGCGTTCCGAGCCAGGAGGCTCCAAACGGGCACTTTCAGTGTCACCATGGGACAACGGTGGCAGAGGCGTGACGCGGTGGACGGATAGCAGAAAACGCGTGACCGGGGACGAGCTGGGACAGTGCAGATGCCCAGCTCCGTCATGCGTTTGAAACAATTTGCATATGTAATCATGTCTTACAAACCATTGTTTAATTCACCCACAGAGGTGAATTACTGCACCAGAAACCACGGTCCTTGTAGCTCCAAAGTTACACATCGGAGAACAAACACGCTCAGGTAACATCAATTTTGAAAGACTTCCCAGTGTGCAAACAGCTAGAAAGGGGACCTCAGGCATGAAGAGGTACCTCAAGAAGCAGCATGGAATCTACCGGAATATGACGACTTCTGTCTGCACTATGAAGCGGTGTTTCCCAACCCGGCCCCCTCCAAGCGCCCTGCCAGACAGCCCACAAAACATGTACTGTCTGTGGGTCCACAAGGACCGGACTGGGAAGCGCTGATATAAGGGGTTAAGTCCAGCCTGGGGCTGTGACAAGCTTCACCACTAATAGAAGGCAAGTCCAACATGACCTAACAAGACATGCGGACGCTCTGAGGGCATGCGGCCTCTTCTCCTCGTGTTACTACGGAGACTGCAGGAGAGGAAACTAATGAGGACTTTTTTGTGTTTCTTCTTACAGAAAACATTCTTTGCCAGAGGCACAAGCAGAGCCTTGCACCAGTGTCATGCAGATTTTATATGGCCGGGCGAGACTTTGCTTTTAAGAATGGCTGCCTTGAGATTCCTCAAAAAAGGCTTTGAGCTTTGTTAAAATTATACCATCCAACAATGCAAATATTTATATAAATATATAAATGACGAATGAATGCTAAAAATAAATCAAATCAACAATAAACTAAAACATGTCAGCGCCTAGTGTTTCATGTGCATTTGCTTTAAGATTATCGCTGGCACTGACGCCCATAAATGGACGTTTGGCGGGTCTGGCCGACCTATCCCAGCATCCTCCGAGTGGCGGCCACGATGGCATGAGCGTGCTGATGTCTACCTGAGCCTTTCTGCGAGCCTTTCCTCTTCTTGAGTGCTTTCTGCAGGATCTCCTTCATGGTCACCTTCATGCTGTCCACAGGGATGAGGGAGAATCCATGGGCGGCGTTTCTGTGGTGGTGGGGGGGGGACGGTGAGGAAGGGAAGGGGGGGGGGGCGGTGGGAGGCAACAAACAAAGAGAGAAGCCATGAAGCGGATTTGTTGTTATTGTCTGGGAAGATGTGCAGGCCCCACGACAAAGCCAGCCCTGCTCAATAAAGGAAAATATAATTACAGAGCTGTCCGGCTTGATTCAAGGGCCGACCGGACGCGATTAGTTATCACAAAAGCCTTTCACGGCATTTGTCCGGAAGCCGGCACGGCAGGGAACGACGGCGTCAGCTGTATTTACGGCCTCTCCCACGGCACGCTTCATCGGGGTGCCTTTGGAGATAGCACTGTATGTTTTTCAGACAGGAGAAGCCACGCTTCTTAAAGGACACGTGCAGCTCGGAGGTCAGGAAGAGCCCGGAAGATCGCGCACACGATCAGTCGTCTTGCCTGCAACACGTGATGGAGAAATAAGACCTCTGCTAAAATAGCAGCACGTAAGCAGCAGATGTGGGATATGAATGGATACATCACTGGTATCTCCAACCATGTCCCTTAAACCCGCACTTTACATGCAGGAACTAAAAGCCTGAAGGTGTTACTCACAGCAGTAAGAGCAGCTCAGCTCCCCAGATTTGTACCCAGACCCTTCTGGCCTTGAATCCTTTTCCCTCAATCACAGAGCCATACACCCCAATCCTGATCAGAGCTCTGGCACACAGGGACACAGACGGGAAGGATGAGGGTGTAAACCAGGGGCATTGTGGGTATATAATGCAGGAGTAACAGGGGACAACGCGTTGCTGCAAACGCTGGGCCAAAGCTACTTTCTTAAAAACTCCGAAGCTCAGTGATTTAACTGTTTAACTAACTTGGATTTCCTTGGGAACACAGCATCCATGAGGTCTGTAATAGTATAATTAGTACCAGTGCTATAGAAATGTAATGGCGAACAACTTTCAAAAATGTAGTAGCATGATACCTTTTCAATAGCGGTATCCTGTGCAACACTATACCAGATCATTAGCGCTTTACCGTACAAGTCAAAGACCGTGCATAAAAACCACACTCGTTCATAAAACATTCATTCCCCGGCAGCTGCGCTAAATGTCAATGACAGCAAACCAAGACGGCTCTATCTCCAGGACGGGATTCACGCCAAAACCTCACCATGCCGCTGCCACCAAAATGGTGCCTTTATTTTGTTTTACTACCATAAAAAAGGCATCAAAACTGAATGTATGTATTTCTAAAATGTTTAACGTAATGTACAGGCACAATGCTCTACATGTACTATGACACATTTTAATTGTTAAATTAAATAAATCTTAAGAATAGGATGGGGGGGGGTGCAGATACAGGGAGAGCCTTGACCAAGCTGGCTGCGCTGTGATATTTGATACTGGAATCACCCCACAGTCTCATTGAATATCCATAAGTCACATGTTTATTCACATACCCTGCCACTGCCCCCAGCCCAACCCCCCCTCAATCGGGGTTGCTGTGCCAGCCGGGACTATGCCAGCTGTTTCTCCTCCGCTATGGCGGGCTCTAGGCGCTGTGGCAGAAGGGCACGATGCCAGACAACCTGCCAGGATGGGGGGGGGGGGCTTTTGTCACCGTGACATTATAATCCCCCACATGTGTGTAGGGGGGGTCCTCATCATTACAGACTGTTATAGTTGCTCGTATCCATCATCAATGAAAAAACAAAAACAATAAATCAGTAACATCCTTAATCATGCAGAGCAGTGTGTGGTATCTCTCGCTACACACCGCTAGGTTTTTGGGTTCAAACCCCACGGTGTGCGAGAACACACTTTCCATGTTGCATGGGTGTTCATCAGGTACTCTGACATGCAGCTACATGTATATGCAGTGCCCTGTGATGGACTGGCACCCAAAGTGTACTCCCGCCTTGTGCCAGCTGGGGTTACCCCCCCCCCCCACCACCCTAGCTGGATGACACATTCCTTCTGCACGTTATCTTTTCGTCTCCACTCTTTTCTGTGCTCTGCCTCATCATCAGATCTACACTTAGCGTTAGCTGCAGGGCCACCTGTGCAAGACCCTAAAAAAACAAGAAATTTCATGTAAAATGATGGACAAAGTTCCAGAAGCCATGACCACGCCTACAGCCGTAGGATGCACACAGGTCCAAAAGAGCCGGATGCGCATTGTCGAGCTGAATCTTAGGAATCTCTCTGTGCCTTTCCACTTGGCAACATGTTACGCCTGTCTGCGCAGACGAATATGCAGCGCTCAGCAAGCTCACGTTTTTATCGATTTATGGCCCTGCGTCCTGTGAGCGACGATCCGGGGCAGGCGGGACAGCCTCTCCCCACTTGGGAACTTCATCCTCACGTCGAACTCCTGCTCTCGCTGCAAGATCAAGCCCAGGTAATCTGCCACGGTCGGCCGGCACAACGGCTGCACCTCATGGCTGCCAGAGCGAGCGGATGAATCGGGTTATTAATATGCTGAACAACTGACTTAAGCCTAAACACGGTGAGGTGGGTCTCTTTCTGGTTCTTGGTTTGGGGTCCTAGCAGAAAGGCATAAAAGCCAGCCTAGATCACACACAAACCTCACACTGGTGTTTTCTCATCAAAGAATTCTTGCTGTCAGTCGTCTCTCTTGGCCCCAGAAACCCCAAGGATCACAGCATCTCAGATTCGTCCTGAAGAATGGGGACCTCCTCTGAGATCTACAGGCCCCATAACACGCTCTGTGGTCCCATCAGCCTCAGATGCTGCCCATCACCCTTAAGTAACGAAACCCACCGAAGCTCTTGGGGCAAGCGGAACCAAATTGTACTGGATAGCTCTGGCTATCTGTGATCCCCCCCCCTCAGCATGTCTGTCCAAGTCCTTGGGGGCTTTTGCCAAATAATGGTCATGGCCGCTTAGCATGGCCCGCTAATTGAGCCAAAAATAAAATGAGAGACAGATGCGCAAAGACTCTTGGCAGTCCCAGTGGAGAGGCAGGTAATGGCTTCATCTCAGCCCTCACAGCACAGCTGGACACAATAACGGGGGGGGGGGGGGGGGGGGGGGGGGGCGGTTGACGGTGCCCCTTCATCTATAACATACTTGAGATCCATTTGCTGTTCCCGGGCATCTTCTAGAAGACTAACGGACCTAAGACCCGGCGATAGGCTGGAAATGGGCAGCAGCACTGGCCGGTGCACCGGTCATAAGGGGGCGCCACAAACATGGCAGATATGACGAACATTCCTGTGAGAGACGTCATATTACTGGGGCCAAAGGGAAGCTAAAACAATGTGGGGGGGGGGGTGCAGAGCAAAGGTGAGGGGGAGCAATAACCAATTAATCAATACAGAGGGGAAAAAAGGAATAACATGATTTGGAGAGGAGAAGAGATTCTGCCTGATAAGGCCTCACACACGTACACGGGCCCAGCCCCAGCATACCACCCCCGCAGACAGTGCTGACACGGCGAGGATGCTTCCTGACGCAAAACGTATTACAATCAGAGTGGGGGCGGGGAGACGGGGTGGGCCCGTGCGTCCCAGTACCCTGAGTGACAGTGGGGGGGGGCTCATTACACGGCGCCTGGTCCCAGACGCCTGAGAAACACAGCTACGCGCCGCATTACCTGACACTCGGCCACTACTCACTGCCCCTGCTGCCACAGTCTGAAGGCTGAAAGGAGAAGTCTGGGGTTCCGGGGGGACAGGACTCAGGGCCAGAACGGAAACACAGAGCGAATCGTGTCCCACACACAGAGACACAGACACACAGAGAGACAGACAGACACACAGAGACAGAGACAGACAGAAAGAGAGACAGACAGACAGACACAAACAGACACACAGAGAGAGACAGACACACACAGAGAGAGACAGACACACACAGAGAGAGACAGACACAGAGAGAGAGACAGACAGACACAGAGAGAGAGACAGAGAGAGATACAGACAGACAGACAGACACAGAGAGAGACAGACACACACAGAGAGAGACAGACACACACAGAGAGAGAGAGAGACAGAGAGAGATACAGACAGACAGACACAGAGAGAGACAGACAGAGAGAGACAGACACAAACAGACACACAGAGAGAGACAGACAGACACAGAGAGAGACAGACAGACACACAGAGAGAGACAGACAGACACACAGAGAGAGACAGACACAGAGAGAGACAGACAGACACAGAGAGAGACAGAGAGATACAGACAGACAGACAGACACAGAGAGAGAGACAGACAGACACAGAGAGAGAGACAGACAGACAGACAGAGAGAGACAGACAGACAGACAAAGAGACAGACACAGAGAGAGAGACAGACAGAGAGAGAGAGACAGACAGAGAGAGAGACACATAGAGAGAGACAGACAGACACAGAGAGAGAGACAGACAGACACAGAGAGAGAGACAGACAGACACAGAGAGAGAGACAGACAGACACAGAGAGAGAGACAGACAGCCAGACAGACACAAAGAGAGAGAGAGACAGACAGACAGACACAAAGAGAGAGACAGACAGACAGACAAAGAGACAGACAGAGAGAGAGAGAGACAGACAGACAGAGACAGACACAGAGAGAGAGACAGATAGACAGAGAGAGAGACAGACAGACAGAGAGAGAGACAGACAGACAGAGAGAGAGACAGACAGACAGACAGACACACAGAGAGAGACACATAGACATCCTCATCATGACGTCTGTCTGCATCCCAAACAACATGCCTGCTGCTCGGGGGAGGGCGGGTGGGCGCTGTAGATGGTGTCATGCCACCCGATCATGTCCTACACCACGGTCAGCTAGTGGACAGCACTCAGAACTGCACTCTATGCCAGCCACTACCCCGCCCGTTCACGCTGACTAGGGGAAACGCCGCGGCCCCGGACCAACGACTCAGTAATCACACTTACGAATGACACAGGTGGCAAACCTAACAGCCAATAAATTTAGTCCATTTGGTTCCAGAAAATGGGGACAGTAAAGACAGCATCATGCTGTGCTTGTAGCTTAACTACCTGACACAGCTCAGAGTCCAGGTCATTTCAAAGAGCCAAAAGTCACGGACTCTGAAAACAGAGGTATCCCTTTACATTACACAGCCAGCATTAGCTGTTATGTTATTGACACACAGACATATATAATAGCTAAAAGAGTTATTCAGGTAGGTCAAGTTTGTGATTGGTGGTCACATAGAAGCACTTCCTGTGTCCTGCTTTTATTGACACTAGGCAACACAAACCAACTGAAGAGCTCAAATGAACAGGAGACATGCAGACAAGAGACATGCTGGCAAACAGGATAAGTGTGAAACCTGCAGCGTCTGCAATGAAATAAAGCAATAAGTGGTTTCTCTGGCATAAAGGCAGAGAGAGGCGAGGCACTCACATCCTCACGAAGAGCGACTGCTTGACGGCCAGCCCTGACGACGAGTACTTCTCCACCAGTGCCAGCGTACTGAAGCCGAACTTGTGGATGGGCTCATTGGAGTCCAGGGGCGGGAAGTCCGTGTCCACCTCTCCGTCGTCCTCGGCGATGTGGAGGCAGTAAGCATTGACGTTCTCGCTGTGGAGATGATGGGATGTCGGGGAGGGGGGAGAGACGAGAGTTAACATGGGGAAGACAGGTTGAGTACGGGGGGGGGGGGGGGTCCTGGGTAGATTCAATTTATATTATATTATTTATATTATTAAATAGTCCACATAGTGGTTCAGCAGCAAAATATTACACAAAGTAACCATCGGTGGCAATAGAGAGAGTGACAGAATGTAAGAGGTGACCACTGTCTTTTCACTCTGCCATACTTGTTAGTGTGGAATATTCAAAGCTCCTTTAAGCTAGATCTTAAGCGGAACAGCCTGATATAAACCCACAGTGTTTCCCCCGAGGCCGGGGGGGAGGTGCGTGGCTCAGCAGGCTAAGCCTCTGTGCCTGTGATCGGAAGGTCGCCGGTTCGAGCTCAGGCCAAGGCATAACAGTCACCACGTCTATGGCCCTTTGAGCAAGGCAATGGGTGCTGTTGGAGGCTGCCCTTCTCTGTGATCCCCAAGCAAGCTCTCATCTGTGTGTGTCTGATCGAGGGCAGCACGGGGGAGGCAAAGGGAGAATTTCCCCACTGGGATCAATGAAGTCATTCTATTCTATTCTCCATCAGAGAATTCAGGCTCTGGGTCTCCTTTGAGGTCAGGGCTGCCACTGAACAGCAATCTGAACCGCTGTACCTCTCATCGGTTATTTATATTTTATTTTTGTACTTTGAGCCACGATGCTGGGAGAGAGCGGAGAGATGGACTCCAGCAGAGCAGCGTGACCGATTAAAGGTCATCAGTGACGGGTCAGACTCAGCAGTCGCGATGGGAAGCAGGCCTAGACTCAGCCTGGACTTCAGGAGGGCCAAGCTGCTTCGATTCGCAAACTCTGAAGTGCAGCTCCACGATGTAGAACAGCGGTAAACTCTCAGTGTGCAGTGGAACAACAAGAGTAGGCAGTGTGGGATAATGTCACTGTACAATGAAAACTGTATAGAGGTGGTAAGCACTCTACTCTTGTAAAGCAGTTTGAGAAAATGTGTTTTTTTCATGCTCGAGCAACAATGGATCTTTGGAGATGCATAGCTTTCACTGGATAGCGACAGTAAACCGTGACACGGAGCCGAAACTTGGACAGACTAACAGCATGCAGAGGATCAGGCGGGCTGACGGGCGCCCTCACTTGAGCTTGGGCTCGCGGCCCTCGCTGGTGTACTGCCAGCAGATGAGACCGATGAGCTCGTGCACGCGGGCATTCGCCATGGTCACCACCGTCATGGGATGCAGCTTTTCCTGTGTGGCTTGCATCGAGAGGTAGACGTCGATTTTTTTGGTTGCGGTTGTACCTACGTGGCCCTGTGGAAGGAAGGATGAGACACCGTCACTGGAAGCGAGCCGATGTCTTCCCGGTGAAGCCCCAGTGACGGGCGCCCGGGGTGACATATTTGACGTTAGAATCACCTGCATGGAAAACATCTGCTAAATCAATAACTAACAGGCATGACGCCTGAATCCTGAGAGCGTCCTCAGGGGCCAAAGACTGACAGCACAGACCCCACTCAGCACGCCCACCGGACACAAAACGGGGTCCCTCGGGGCGCTGCCCCTGACCCCAGGCCCCGAATCATACATCACTGGTTACATCACAGCCCTGACAAATGTCGACACAGTAACTGGATATGAGGCAGCATGGAAAGACCAGGGCGGGGTGCCGATTCACACCAGCAAGGAATTCCACCACGTCTGCTGGAGAGATGTGCACAGAGCACGTGCCAGAATGGACCACAGTACTCCTGCGGAGGTCGCACATGCAGGAAAAGACGACACTGAGCAAAGACGGCTTCTTACGAACCCTGGCGGCCCGCATGGCGCCCCCCCCCCCAGCAGGAGGACCGCTGCCCCGCATCCATGAGATTATCAACGGCTTTCCCTGACAGTCAGAGTAACCCTGAGCACAGCCAGCTAGCAGACAGAGTATAAAACAACCAAACTAATCAATATGGTGGAACAAAAAAAAAAAAAAAAAACGTACGAAGACTGGGGAAACTGGCTTCCATTAACTGTATCGAAACAGGAAATGACAGCGACCCCCCCCAACTCGGCAGAATGCCAGAGAAAGAGCAGGGGATATGGAGAGAGAAATCCAGGACAAAGGCAGCTCATCCACTCCCGCCTTGCTCTCAGTGACAAAGAAGTGGTTATTCCTTTCTAAGCGATAAGCTAGTTATTAGCGTTTATTACTACAATTACTATTAACTATAATTAAGTCCGGTGTCCTGGAAGACCAATAAAAACATTAAAGGAGACGCTATTCTACACCACACAGCGCATGTATCTCTCACAAGGAGTCTGGGGTCTCCCCCCACATAGTCTTCCCCGGCCCCGCCCACGTGGGGCCCCACCCCACAGACTGATTCCAGACAAGGTTTTCGTCATACTTTGGACTCACTTTTAACTGCCCCCCTCCATTAAATCATATTTATAGAATAAAATCGATTACGTTAAAACACTGTGGCCATACCCGCAACACCGCGTAATGAATTACGGAGCCCCATCCTCTTCAGAGCGCGCGGCACGCTGCGTGCACTTAATAAAAAGCCCATGATGGGGGCTGGGGGTGGGAGGGGCGTGTCTCTCCATTATTAGGTGATATGTAACAGAAGAGGTTACAGGAAGCCATTAACACAGGCTGGAATTACAAACATACTTCAAACTCTTTCTCTAACACTGAGGAATGGGGCAGACTGGATCGATTCCCGCTGAACACTTGAAGGAGGAGGTGAGGGGTCACTGGGTGATGTTCAAGTAAAGGCACACGGCAGAACATGCAGTGACTGTCTGTGTGGCAGGAACAGCGCATTATTGAGCTTACCTGCACTGGTCCGGACTGAGCGTGCTCTGTGACCCCTGTGACCCCTGCGTATGTCACATGACTGCACAACCCAATCAGCTCTAAAATCTCAAAGTCTGTTTACAAGACCTAAGAAATGAAGCTTGCTGGAGCAGGGCTGAGCCCGAGTGGCTGAGGCCTGCGGTCCGTATCAGGTAACCACAATATGGGCACGGGCAGATTATCTGCCACTCCACACACAGGACACCAAAGACAGCCATCAACAGTTTTGGGGGGATAAAGGCTCTCAGCTGCTGTGCCTGCCTCACCCACACGATGGACAGAAACATTCCTCTGATTCCAATAGCCCTCTGCCTCCCTGTCGCCAAGGCCAACGGATGTACAACCCGGACAAACGCGGCCCGCGGGCTCAGACGCCCGCCGGTCCCCAGGGCTTGACCTGCATACACGCGCCATCTGGACAGGGAGCCGGGCTGCCACTGAGGCCACGCCCTCCAATGCCGCGGGTCAGAGGCAGCAGAGGGGCGAGGGACCCGCAGGGGTGGGGGCAGGTGCTGAGAGTCAAGGCAGAGGAATGTAAGCGTGGCTAAAAGGTATTGATTGGTGAAAGGGCGTGTGCCAGGGTGGGGGCACAGGAAGGCTCTGCCTCTCAGATCATTAGAGTCGGCTTACCCTGCCCCCAGTCAAAGATCACCAAGCTCTGGTTTTTAATGACTGACACTCACACCCTGTGTCTTCTGACGTGGCCCAACACACAACGTAAGGGGGACCTGCACACGGGTCGAGCCGACATGGCGTGACGGGTGACGTGGGTCTGTGATGAGGCCGCAAAGAGGCACGCAATAACGGGCAGGAGGCGGAAGGGGTCGAGGGACCCGAACGGCGAAGCCCGGTGAAGCTGCAGCGCGGCACACAATGCTGCAGGCCCGCCTCGATACCCTTCCCGTCTACTTATATTATGGAACACTGAAGCATGTGACGTCTTCTCTGGGACAGGCCTCGGGGGGGTTAAGTGTATACAGCAATCTAGGCAGGCCCGTCCTGACAGACAGAAGCAATCGAGGCAGCCGCTCACGCGAGAAGGCGCCAGCATTCTCTGGGCGGGAGCTGCACGCCGATCTCATCCGGCACGGAGCCTCTCCACCTGCCCGCTAACAGCTAGCTACGTGGGGTGATTCGCATTTAGCTTATTTTACCCATGAAGCATGACCACCTGATTCAGCACTGAGCAGAGAGCCTGTTCCAGGAATCACGGGGCCCATGGCGGGGGACACCCTGTATGGGGCGGGGGACACCCTGTATGGGGCGGGGGACACCCTGTATGCGGCGGGGGACACCCTGTATGCGGCGGGGGACACCCTGTAGGGGGCGGGGGACACCCTGTAGGGGGCGGGGGACACCCTGTAGGGGGCGGGGGACACCCTGTATGGGGCGGGGGACACCCTGTATGGGGCGGGGGACACCCTGTATGGGGCGCCAGACCATCGCAGGGCATAAGGTAAATACACAACTCTATAATTTAAATGGGTCCCTAATGGTACCAGGCAGAGATTCGCAAACAATCCGCCGTTCCCTCCACTGCTGTGTTCTTCTGAAAGGGGGGAGCCACGAGTCGGAGGCCGGCGGTGACACACGGGGAGGGGGGCAGGTTCCTGAGCAGTGCCATAATGCCAGTGACACCCCTGGGCGCACACACAGGTGCTGGAGTCGGCTGGAATTCGGTTCCAGCTGCTAGGAGGAGACATTTGATTTAATTACCCCCCCGCTCCACACCGACACCCACCCCTCCCCCCCCCCCTCAGCCCCGAGCGGGGTTCAGCGACTCTGGCTCAGTGCCCACTTTGCCGACCCAGGAAATGTCCTTGAGAAAAGTGTGTCACCTGAGCAGGCGACCTGCCAGCTTCCTACGCACGGCCGATAATCCTCTCACGCATCTTGGCGGGCCCAGGGAGGGGAACGAGGGTGGGGTTTAGGGCAGAGAGGGGTAAGGGCTGCTGACTGGAGGCAGCACGAGGCTCAACGTCAAGGGGCATGCAGTTAAATCCCAATGGGGAGTTGCTTGTTGTACCTCTGGAACAGATTATATCATCTAAATATATAGGTGGTCCTCCACTTACGATGGGATTACATTCTGATGGACCCATTGTTAGTATAAAATATTGTAGAGTCAATGATGATTTGATAAGTTTATAGATGTCACAATAAGCACAATAAATAACTGAACTGTAACTAAATATTAGTAACTGGAAAGTAAATACATCAATACAAAAAAAAAAAAAAACTTACGACATTGTTAAACACTGTATGAGTTATTTATGTTCATGATCGCTACAGATACTGGGAACCTGGCTGTATGGATGCTGCCATCGTCCAGCATCACTAGTAAGTATCGTACAGCATATTGCTTGCCTGGGAACAGATCACAATTCGACTGCTGAATGTGTATCACTATCGTACCATCGTAAATTCAAAAAGTTACAAGTCAAACCATCGTAATGCGAAGCGCACTGTTCTCAGTAATCATACAGAAAACTGTAACTGCTAATACTACACAATTGTCACTGTTAAACCCTGCCCTAAACAAATGCACACTGTTATGCCAGTAGACACCAGAGGATTCTGGGATATCAGCACTGCATTTCATCATTTATTCCCAATTCATATCTATGTTCATGAACCGTGTCGAACCGCCCGCCGCGGACTCGCATCCGACGGCGAGCGCCGGCCAGATGTGCCTGGCCGGCGGCTCGGAGTGTGGGGGTGTGGCTGGAGGGGGCGGCAGGGGTCCGGGGAGCAGCTGGGAGGGGGGAGCAAACAGCTGCAGGCAGGCTATGTGGGCGCGCTGCAGTGACGGCTCCATCTGCTGTGAAGCCTGCTTATGCGGATACGCACCGAAGCGGACACGCACGGACACACGCGCACACACACGCCGTGGCCACATCTGGGGTGGGGGGGGGCTTTTCTTTGTCACAGGACAATGGCAGCAGCCACAGAGAGAGACACGTACAGTCAGCTGGAGATGGACATAAAAAAGCCACACAAAAAAAGTCTCTGATGTCACCAGCTGAGATTCCGCGATCCTTCAGCTTACCCATGTATGGGGGTGGGGGGGTAGAATCCCAAATAAAGATGCTCCTTGCTATGCAATAGTGCAATGGATTGAATAGTCAAACTTTGAATTGTCAGCCGTTCCTGGGTCAGCGATGTGCTGTGTGAGGTTCTCTTGATGCCGGACGATGACGGCATCCACACAGCCACACTCCCGCTCAGCGTAGAGATCACAGGGGTAAACATCCCATGCAGTGTTTAACATCCCATGCAGTGTTTAACATCCCATGCAGTGTTTAACATACCATACACTGTTTAACATACCATATACTGTTTAACATACGATAATGTTTGTTTCTGTGTTTAAACTCTTACTCATATATCTACTTTTCAGTTACTGGTATTTAGTTACAGTATTTATTTATTAACTTATACTTATTCAGTGGCAGTATTTATTTACATATGGACCATATGATATTCATCATATGATATTTTACACTTGACAATGGGTTCATCGGACGGTGGCCCCATCTTAAGTCAAGAAGCATGGGGGTCCATGTGCAGTCAGCCCCCCACAAGCCAGATTACAGGTCATCATCAGAGTACCTGGGAGGAGGGGGGGCAATCAGAGCGAATTGGATCGATAGTTCCATGCAAAGCATTTCATCTAAAAGTAGACAAAAACCGCCCCTGTCCTTGCACTGTATGTTTGTATCTGTGCATTTCCCCTTATGATCAATAATGTATATCTTCTCTTATCTAATCGCATTGCCATTAGGCTCAGAGGCCTATCAAAACAAAAAAAAACTGCAAAATATGTAAAAGGCAGGCCTCTCCTGATCCCAGATCAGCGTGGAGCTCAACCAAGCCATTCATTCCTGCACCTATCATTCACACCAAAACAAGTACAGCTTCTTCATGTACTCGTTACACATATGCAAATGAATTCATTCTAACATCTTACAAAGCTCATTAAAGTGCAGAAAAGGGAAAGCACACTTAATATAAGAATATATACAAATAAAAATCACAGGAAAAACAGCACAAATCTATACTCAGTAACAGAGTGCACGCTGCTTGGGGTACAAAACACTGCGGGTGAAACCAGATGAACACCGGAATTAACTGTCCTTCCAGAATATACCACAAGGAAACAAAACCCTAGAACGACAAACACATTTCATATCCCTGGCCTCTACCTGCCCACACAGAAATCTCAAATCCACTTATAATTCGATCTGGTTCTTGCATCTGTCAAGGAACGCCGCAAATTCGATTACTTTTTTTTTTTTTTTTTTTTAAACCGCTGTCAGGAACATGACCGACGCTCACGTAAACACGCGCCCTCCCGCCGGCGCGCCCGCCTCCCGTTATCCCGGCCCTAAATCAACGGGCCCCGCGGATTTTCAAGACGCGTCTTCACTCAGCACTCGTCATCAAAGGGAAATGCTGATAAAAATCTTTGAGACACCATATTCCAAGATGAATGAAAACTGGAGGGTACAGTCCATCTTTTTCAGCGATTGCACCGAGAGAACCTTTGGGCAAATGCGTACCTTACACTTTTAGGGTAGGTAAAAGGTACTCTAATCTCTCCAATTACTCTAGACTCTTTTGCATCATGACTAAAGTAACCAAATCTTTCCTGCACCTTTAGGGCAGAACGCTGACCTTTCCACTCCAGTGCGAATTCTCCTAAAGGCCGGCATAATTCGCAGTGACATTTATTCAGCGTGCGGATCTTACAGCCTGCTCTTTTCCCCACAAGTCTTTCAGAGAGAGAGGGGAAAAAAAACACAAGAAACAGGCTTACAGTTCAGGGAACCACTGAACTTTAACTTGCCGTTTTTTCAAGCACCCTTGATGCCTTTAAATCCACCATAGAATCTGTGCATCAAGACTGAAAATGTCAGCTTCTTTCTCAAAGAAACACAGGCATGGTTTAAGGTGAACCAGACATCTTAAATGTATGATTTGATGCAACTAAGGGGTGTAGATTGTTGGCCGCAAGGCGATTCAATTACTGTTACTGAGAGTATGATTCGATGCATGTGACATCTTTAATTTCTATCAGTCAAAGAATCAATTATTCCGATGATACAAATTCAAATTCAAAAAAAATGCACAGATATTACCATGAGAACATAATTACTCGCTATTAATGGAATACAAAGGTAGAATCTCAGAACATTAATTTTTATTGTTATTATACAGGGAGGAACAAGCCAGTGTAAATTATCAAAAGGTCAACTACTGATCTTTACTGAAAAAGAAACATAAAAGAAGCCAAACAGATTTTATTTTTTTTTTTGGGGGGGGGGGGGGGCGGGGGCAGCGAAAGTTGCCTGCAGCACATGAATGCGAGAGCATGCAACCCATAAGAAGCATATTTATACTTAAGGAGGATTTTGCCCCCATAAATCGATTCTGACCTTACAGATCAGTACAGCTGAATAGCCACCTTAACAACTGATTGATCATGAGGCATTTTTACACCCGTACTTCTGATCTAAAAAAAAATGTGTGATGAACATTGGTCAACGGTGCATTTAAACACCAATACACAAAGACTTATATCACACACAACAACAAACCACGACTGGCCTACGTGACTCCAGATCACCACCGGTAGTTTCTGAAGTCCAATTCACCACATGACCACAAACCTTTAGTCTGAAAATGTCAGCACTCATAAGCACCTTCACTGTAAAAACCCACAATTCCAAATCACACCTCCATGCATTACTGTGATAGCCCAATGCACTTTAGACTGTCATACCATCCATCAATTATATTGATGGGAAAAAAATAATATATGTATAGGATCCATATGCAACTCACCCACCAAAAATCAAAATGATTATTTTCTCTAACTCGATACTGACAGGCATTTTTCCATGCAGGCACAGAGCTGAGTAACTTCTGACAGAACTATCTGTTAATTTTAGACAGTGGCAGCAGAAGCGATTATTTTTAACACCATGCTGGATGCAGAGGCGACGGGGACGCCCACCTTCCCGTCGAACTTGGAGTACTCGTTGAAGGGGTTGTTCAGCTGCTGGGGGCACTGCTCCAGCCGCAGGGAGAGTGTGGACTGCTTCCCCAGCCTGCAAGGCCTGCCTCGGAAGTCCTTCCTCTCAAACAGCGAGCCCAGGTCCTCCGCTGTGGGCGGGACAGGCTTGCATCAGCAGCTCGTCAATGTGCAAGTGATGCTCAAAGCGAGAGCTTCGTGCTTCAGGACAGAACATCACATTCCTGTACAGTGCCATGTGTAGCAAATGATCACCAGCCTTTTTCTTACAGGTAAGAAAAACACCCAGCTGACCCTAGTTGGCTAACTACATTATTAGCTGCGCAGACAAAAAAAGGCAAGAGTGTTAAATTGAAGGACAGGCTGATTTTGCCGAGCTCAATGTTTCCCTGGCTCGACAAGGGAGGGGCTTGCATTTCACTTCTTTAACCAATCACAGTCTTCATCGTATGACATCACCACATTGGTCTGTTTTTTACCCCACATTTGCAAACTCAAGGCTTCCAGCCATGCAGTTGGGGCTCAGCAAGCTAGGCCTCTGCTTGTGATGGCAAGGTTACCGGTTCAAGTCGTGTTGTTATATTATTTTTAATCATCATCAAGAAATAAAGACATGCCCTTACATTGCTCTATGCAGCCTTTGCAGGTAAGCAAACTCCTATGTTTGTATACAAAAGGCATACACAATACACAACCAGCTACTCTAGAAATCTGTGCACCTTGCCGCTTAACAGAAAACACTGGTTTTAGTTAATGTGGTGATGTCATACAATAAATCCTGTGATTGGTAAAAGTGAAACACATGTGCCTCCTTTGATGACACAGGGACACTTTGAACTTGGCAAAATCACATGCTTCGAGTGAAATGGAAAAAAGAGGAGTTAGTGCATTTTAAACACTTCAGTTTTTAGTTTGCTCTTTTTAAAAGCTCCACTGTCTATGTTATGGATTTCTACGTTTGTTGTGCCAATCCTGTCTTGCAGCTGACAGTCTTCTACATAAAAAGAATGACTAGATCCTCTACAGACTTTGAAAAGAATTAAGAGGCCACCATTGCAACACCTTAGTCAGATTTTCTTTAGCAAATACGCTATATATAACCAGGCACGAACAAGTGAAACCGCAAGCTGATTAATGGGGGGAAAAGCCGCGATACGAAACGGCGGAGCAAAGCTCACGTACCTGACTGTGAAGAGCTCCTTTCCTTCCACTGAATGTTTTTGCATTTGATCTGATTCTGTCGCTCCTTCCTCAGTCTTTCGAGTCTTTGAGCTTAGAAAGAAGAAAGACGGAAGAGAACAAAAAACATACATGACATCAGAGGGGAAACGTGCCGTCGCTCCCCGCCGGTGCTCTTGAAGCACTTTTGCCTTCCAGGTCCCACAGAGTTGGGGTATGGAAGGTCACTCCCCCTCCCCCTCCTCCTCCTCCTCCNTCCTCCTCCCCCTCCTCCTCCTCCTCCTCCCCCTGGGAATGCAGGCTTCAGAGATGACCGAAAGCTTATCCCCTTACAAGACCCAGACATGAACAGGCCACGGCAAGCAAAAAAAAAATGTTACGATCGGGGAGCACGAAGACGACGACCGCACACAGCCCTAAGGGTCAGCTGCTGGTGAGGAAGGGGGAGAGCTGCAGTTTCAGCAAGTGTTGGGTTTTAAGTCTGTACCTGGTGCCAGCGAGGGCACCGTGCCCATGGGGCGGAATGGGCATTTCCACTGGGCTGGGGCCAAGTGGGTCGAGGGGGACAGGTGTTGTGTCACGGATCATGGCGCAAAGCGATACAGCCTAGTTCTGATTCCCACAACCCCCCTCGGTGCTTACCGGCTGCCCAGTATCTCTCCTGTCTGCCTGGGCTCCTTGGAGAGACAGCCACTGGTAGGTAATTTCTCAGGAGAGGAGAAACGCTTTTGTGGAAAGGAACTGTCACACCTACATGACCCCAAAAGAGAACCTGAACTCCATATGCCACAAGGGTCGGTTGGTGGGGGGGGCGAGACATGCACGGGGGCAGGACAATCAGGGGGCGGGTACGGGACTCCCTTGTGGCTCATGCAAACCCGGTACTGTACCTGTTCTTGACCCACCAGAAGGGTTTAAATTCACCCAGGACTCTGGTGATGCCCCAGTGAGGTTTGTTTTGGGGAAAGTTGGTTGACGCACTTCCTGGCATGCCATGTACACCCCACCACAAAATCACTGCATTTACTTAATTCCTCTCCTTTCTAATGAAGACAATCATTTAAGAAATTCTTTTGCTGAACCATCAAATTCTCCGGACCCTAGCCCTGGGCCACCTTCGTGAGCAAGGAGGTCGAGAGTGAGCGGACACGGGTTTGACACGGATCTCACACGGGGGCCACGACAGCTGCGCGGGACCAATCACGGGTCGATCGCTCCATTACCATCTCCTAGCTTCATTTCCAATCAAAGAGTTCCCCCCTCCCTGATCTTAATCACATCCATCTACCTGCGGCGACACCGCAATCAATCCCACAAGGAGAATCACGAGGCAAGAGGAAGCACTACGGACCCCCAAAAATCACTCGCCCTTCATCTCCTTTCACAAACGGCACCACCACAATTTTATTCCAATTCATTACCAAGCCTTCGAAGTACACCAAACCAAACCAAGGAGAAGACGATTAAAAAATAATAAAATAATTATTGTTATTATTATTATTATAATAGTAATATTAATTCTACAATCAAATTAGTGTTGCTGTTGGTACACAGGGAAAATTATCTGCAGCAGTAGTATTTATGTAGGTGATTAATTCATGATTCATAAAAGCACAACAGACGACATGTTATGACAGAGGCAGTGACACTGTACGTCAGGCATGCAAACTTAAGCAGCACGATCCAAAAAGATTCAAACAACAATTTAAACTAAACCAAAGGCCATTCTCTGTACTTAACTTTGATATGTACAATGTGACTATGCATCGATACAGGAGTTGGTTTAAATTGTAAACCTTAAACCCACCTGGACACGTATCACACCAGTTAGTAAGATCTCCGTAAACTGCATTTAATAAATGACTTAACTGCTTTGTTTAACGTACCTCAGCGCAGACCCACAGTGCAGGACACCCAGAATCCCCCGTAACGGTACACACCTGTGTTGGACCGCCGGCGGATGCCGAAGTCCCAGCTGGAGGTTATGTCGACGGACTGGGAGAGGTCGCAGGAGCCGCTCTCTGAGCCCGAGTCACTCTGAGGCCCGGGATCCGACTGCCCACTTCCACCTGGCGCAACCAACGACAGGCACCTCTCCAGGTCCACGTCATGGTCAATCAGGACCATCTCGCACATCCCGGTGTCGTCGCTGGTCACGTGAGACTGCCTGATGTGTGCCAGGATGATGGCAGGATTGTCCAGAAAAGCCATCCTCTCTCTCACACTCTCTGTCTCAATACAGAGGCTACGATCTAGTGTGAAAAATCAGAATTTCCTCTGCGACGGCGTCGTCTCTTTCTTCTGTGCGAGATTATTTTCTCCTTTCCAAGTTGTACCATGTGTGCCAACCTGTCAGGAAGAAAGGAATGAAGAGCATTTTCATGCCCGCTGACCAGGCTGTGTTCCATCACACTAACAGTCACTCACAATTTCTCATGCTTCAGCAACAGAAGACCTCAAATTGCAGTGCTGCTGAGGCAACGTCTCAACTGCAAGCTGAACGCTTTCACTCAGCTGTGAGCCTTATTATGGGGTATTGTGTTCCTGAAGAACACGTCTACCGTACATCACATGGTGCTCAAACGAGGGATGAGACACACCCAGCAAATAAATGAGTTCCAAGTCAGAGCAGAGTCTTTACCGAGAAACATACCAAATACCTTCTCTTTGAATAATGACACGAATACAACAAAATGACCAGAAGAACCAGCGTGTCTTGAAAAATGCTACAAAAAAGCCAATAAACTCCCAATCAGAAATGACAATCATCCATCACAATAGCCTTACAGGTACTTAACACGGTTAGCACACAGGTGAGCTACGCCTTTCACCTAAGAGCTGAAAAGGGGACATTCATCTGGGGTCATTTATTCTTTAAGTCAAAAAAATCAGGCAAGATCAGAAGTGCTCGATTTAGACAAAACCACATGACTTAAAGCCCAAAAACTGGCTGGCTTTGTCTTCACACTAAAGGGCGGCACTGTAAAACAGACCCTCCTTAAAAACCTTAAGTTTCTATTTACTTAAGAAATCCTTTCACAGATTCAAAACCCATATGCATATATATTTATGTTAATTACGAGAAAAAAAAATCAATGATAGGCATTTGCACAGCCAGGCTGTAAAGAGAGAACTCACCCCTATTTTCTTTACTTAAACTATAAACCTCTCCCATCGCACTCCAGCGCGAGCCATTACATAAATGTAGGGAAATGCTAATCTGCTAATTAACGGACTAATTAGGTAATTACCGCTTTGCAGGGGGATGCGTAAATGAAATATGACAACGAGGTCGCCGCATTTCATGGCGCTCTCGGGTTTTTTCAGCTGTCGCCGTGGCAATACAACATCAATTTAAGCAGATGACAAAGCACTGTCGCTTCGCATTGGCGCGACGCACCAGAGCGCCTGACAGCGCGCTCTGCCTTCAAAGACTTCATTTTATTAGCACCGACGTGGGGAGGGGAACTGCTGGAGCAGACTCTCCGTTTCTGCTGCCGGAGAGGGATTTCGTTTCACGTCAGGTGCCTTTTTACCCTGGGAAAAGGGGCCTGATCCCCAGGAAAGGCTCCAGAGTGCCCGCTTTTTATAGCTGGACTTGACCGGAGACGAGTTCTGTGTTCCAGTTACGGTTCCAGGTTTTTTGGGAGCAGAGAGGAAAAACACAAACACGCTGTAGACAAAGAGAGGATGGAAAGCAGGGAGCCTGTAGAGACCTGGCCTCAGCTACCACAGCACAGGACGACCCCGACTCCAAATAAAAGCCAATCCCGCTAAGACAGTGTTACTCAACCCACACGACCACCCCCCGAGAACGCATACATTTTTGCTCCCTTCCTGCTCCTAAAACACCTGTTCCAGGTTTTCAGAAGCTCTTGATTGTCTGGGAGGGAGCAAAAAATGTGGACTGTCTTGTGGACTGGGTTGAAAAAGACTGCATCAAGCTGGGCACTCACACATCATCCATACTGGGATAGTTCCCACAGGAATGACTTCAGCAAATGATCACCAGTGTTTACAACACCACCTGCATGGTTATGACTTCATTTCTGAAGAGGCCTATGCAAATACACTATCCATTCTCAATCACTTGACAGGCTTACCCAGTACAGGTCACAAAGAAGTCTGCAGACAGACAGACACACAACTAACAGAATTTCTCTCGGTCTGAGCTGAGGCCCTTAACATATGATAATACAGCAGAATCTGTTGAGCTACTATATCACACTATATAACCTCCTTACCAGGTGCCGCTTACTAAATCTGGACATAAAAGCAGCTCAGGATAACTACCATTCTGTGGTCAGGTGACCTCAATCTTTAAATCAGCACCTGAGAGCTCCTGTGTCCGAGTCACAGACTGTTAAACACTTAAGGTATCCCTGAGGACGAAGCCTCATCAGCCTTCTAAGCAAAATTACGGAAGGTACAGTCAAGGTCACCGCCTCAAATCCCAGAAGAAGGCCTGCTAAAGCAACCTCTGGCCAGGTACTTAACCTGAATCACTCCAGCCGCAGACCTGGCTAAAGTGGTTGTGACAATAGTGTTGACTAAGCAAGTAAATGCAATGTGTCATCACTTACAGTAAAGGCACAGGGTCAGGAGCCCTCTAGAGCCAGGTTAAGCCGCAGTACAATAGCTGCTTATCGCAGTTAGGAGCTGACACACTGAAATGCGCTCTGGCAGCCATGTCTAACAGAACTGGCTCCAAAAGCCAGATCTCTAAACATGTCCCGAAATTCAGATACTTCAAAGAAATACAGCTGAATGCAACAACATTGAGTGATTATACAAAAAACATGGCAGCATTCAGCAAAATCTCTTCCTAATTTTTCCATGCTACTATAAATTGACCAATAGCTGAGAGGGGTGCAGTCTCTTAATGTTTTGGTAATAGGTCTGAAAAAATCCGGAACTCACACTCCTTAACCAAAACAGTGGGACTTAGAATATGAATTCAGCCAAAAAAACCTCCAAGCACGACATAATTGTTGTATTTTCTTCAACAATCCAAATTAACACAGACCAATAAACAAGAGAATATTTACAGTTCAAGAGTTCCAGTTCCTGATTTTATCAAACGCAACAGGAAAAGGCAAGAGCCATACTGGCCTTGCTGAAGCTCAGCTAAAAAAAGATAGCCCAGCAACAAACATAAATAACCATGACAACCAGTGACAGGCTTTTGGAATCCATCTCCCTCTGCCAACAATAAGAGACTTTTTTGTTAAACTGAAGCAGTATGGGTGTTAACAGTCAGTTAAGTAATTCCTTCCAAACCCAAGCAGCTTCCCAAAGTTCAGAGTTAATTTCTGAAATTTTGATCATAGACAGTGGTCAAAGGTTGCAGTTAAAGATGTCTGGCCTGAATTTGCACAGCCATGATTGTCTGTTGTTTTTGGTATTCCAAATTTAGATTGGACTAATTTCCAAAGGTATAAGTGGATTAATGAACCCCATAAAAGCAGATCAATGAAACCCCTGATCACATATACACAGAACAAACAGTTTATCAAAGAGTGCAGTAAATCTGTATAACCATTAAAAACAGGAGGAAAAAGTTTAAAAAAATAAAATAAATTGCCAGCCCAATGAATGTTTAAGTAAACACAGCTTATCTAAAGTATGTACATCGCAGCTCTCGGTACTGATTAAAATGTGAAAAATTATGATGGAGCACTAACTGCCAATGTTCTCTAAGATTCTGTTAATGATGATCTAAGAAACGGTGTGTTTGAACAGCGCAGTATTCAAAGTGAAACACCAGCGCTGCTAAAGCGATCCTCAATTCCATGAGATTCCACTAATCACTGACTTACTGACTTAATGTGATCAAAGTTAAACAGCAGTAAATACTGCACACTAATGGTCTTTCAGTTGTTTAACAAACTGTTGACCAATAGGCCTATTTCCCACTCTTTTTTTTTTTTTAAATGATCCCACTCTTTTTTTATGCTGTGGATCCATGCTGTACTAAGGCAATCATATAAAATAAACAATAAACAGTAAACATACCGAGAGATTATTTAGACATAGCACAGTAATAACACCCCAAGAGTGATAAAATGAGCGCGATGGTCATGCAAATCCTGTACATTAGTAAAGGACATCCACGCAATTTCATTCTGGACCTTTTTTCCGTGAATGTTTACTATAAATGAATCCGTCTGATGTGAAAATTGACTGGATTCATGTAGCCAGCTTTCGGTTGCATCTCTATGTTCATGGCTTGAAAACAAGCGTTATGAAAGTCACACACATTTTTGCATAAAACAGGGTAACTATATCGTAAATACAGCAGCAACAGCCTATAGGACGCAATGAGTAGATCTACCATTGCATTATATGACATTATTATATATTTAAAACTACTACATTAACGGTAGTACTGAAATCTGAACCGTGACAGACACTGACTGTTTACATGTGAAACACACAGACACCATGCAAGGCTGGTTGACTAGCCCAGGGCAGGGTGGATATATTCAATTTTAAATCGAAGAAAAACATGTAATTAAACGTTTCGAATGATGATTAAGAGACTTGTCCACCATGGCGGCATCGGGCCAGGAGAGCGGCTGTCTGTCCGGTGACAGGCGAGCGGGCGCGACCGCGACCCAGGCGGCCTAGGCAGCACAGGGTGGGCTGGCGAATGAGTGTTTTTCTCCCAAAAACATTACCTTCCGGCATAAATTATTTCCGGCGGGACTAGACTCACATTCACCGCTGAATGCGACTAACTGGGCAAGCGGTGTAACCGGGCGAAACACCTAGCCGGGCCTCGCGCGGCCAAAGGCGCTCCGGCTAACCACGGCAAGCCGGCCAGCGCCAGCCGACAGCTCCCACGTACCGCCACGCATGCCTTACGTCCGAGGGAGAAAGGGATCCACGGGCGGCTGTGTCAGGCGTGCGCATCCACGACCAGGGCAGCTCATCTCACATCTCAGTAATATCTGCGAATCGGCAGCCTAGTGGTTACAGAATAACGGCCAGATCCATGAAAGCGCATTTCCTCTGTTGCCTTCCTGCTGCCGTTACCACTGGTCTAACTTGATACAGGAAGTGCATTGTTAGTTATGGAGAACACCGAATAGGAGACGCGAATAGATTTGATTGGCATCTCGTTGAGCCAGTAATATTTAAGTATTTTTGGACGGATGCCAACTTTAACCAATCTGACTCTCGACTACGACGGTCAAAGGTGGGATTTCAGTGATACGCCACTATGTTAAAGTGGGCGAATAATAAAATGTAATTATTGTTTTTTATGTTGGGTGCTGAGCAGTGTATAATCCGTTTTTATTTGGTATACGTTGCCTTGTGTACTCTCAGCTTGTTTTAAATAAACTTATAATTCATATTATATTATGAATATACGAAGAATTACTTTAAAACAGGTTACGCATTTCTGCCACATGAATATAAACCAGCAATAGGCTATAAAAATGTATCATCGCATTTCTACGTTATACCTTAAGGATTCATGAATAAATGCAAGTAAGACGTTTAAACCTGGCCTATAGAATTAAAATTAAAATTAAGGACAAAACGACGGCTATACGGGCTACTTAGTGTATAAAACAGGCCTACTGTAAGAAAAATGTCAGGTGATATTTTAATTCTAAATGTACAGATAAATTAAATGTATCTGTTAGAGGTTGGCAAAATCATCACGGGAGCCATGAATTGGTTATCACGTGTTAAGTGTTCCGCAATACTTTTCAGTTTGTACCTTAGCCTTAAGACCCATGCCACTTGGAATAGGGTATACAGACCCCCGGCCGTCAAACCGGACCAGGATAAGGATATATGTAAAAGTATGTATTGACTCATTCCGTTGTTTAGAATTATTAATACGTTACTGTCCAAGTTCCACATGTGTCTATTTTACCATGCTACTTCATTGCTTGTGACTGAGGTACCACAATACAATTTTGCAATAAAACGTGAGCTTGCTTGACGTTTTCTTTTTTTTCAACAGACAGCCCAGCAAAATGAAGCGCTCCGAAGGACCCCGCAGAACCACAGCGAAGAGGAGCCATGGCGGCCAGTGTGTTCTCCCCTTGACAGGTATCCTGTGTGGCCTGACAGCTCTGTATTCCAGTGACACATGCGGAGCTGCCGCGAGACCCCTGTTCATTCAGCCTTGGAGCGCGCCGTGGGCTGGTATCTCAAGGTCAAGTGTGGGAAAAAAGGAACTCAGCAACTCCAGATTAGAAGTGCAAAAAAAAAAAATATATATATATATATATATATATATATATATATATATATATATATATATATATATTATTTATTTTTTCTATTATCCTGAGTGACAACTCTACAGGCAAATACAACAGACTAAAAAAATTTATATAATTGTGATTCATTTTTATACAGTGTATACTTTGGACATAGGCAAATAGTATGGCTCTTTTGTACACATTACAAACCCATAAAATATGAACTGTGTATAGAGCTAGTGCTGCATATAGAGTGAGAGTGATGTATTGTGCATTATGTCTGTCTCACTACTTATAATTTATTGTATTTGATTTTTATTGACAGTGAACTAAAAGCCTTACATGTGGTAATGCCTACATGGTTTTTATCACTAATCAGTGTTCTTTGACTGTACTGATATTGCTTCTGAGCACAATAATATATAATATTATATATAGAATTCTGTGATTTTAGAGATCCGTAAAACTGATGGCCTTGCTTTGGTAGTTCAGTATAACTTCCCTGGGTTCCGCTGTTGTGTCTTTCCATGATGCGGCTTATGATGAGGAGGATGACTACATTGTTACCACTTATGCACACATAAAAACTGACTAATACACAATCCAAACATCCTGCTGCACCATTTAATCAATCGCCTAAGCAGCTGAATCAATATAAATTCCTATTAGTTTAAACACACTGGCCACAATAAATCTTAACATGTTGATTGGAAGGCATTCTGCAGACCAATTCAGCTGCCCTGTGTTTGTTTATGACCACACAGTTAAATAAAAACTCACTGTCTAAAAAAATTATATTAAATCATATACAACATCTACAAAAGTGATTGTGTATCTAGATATGTTTGTTTATCCCAGACCGTTTTACTATAGTCCTACCTCTTCTCTTGAGGAGATTATGGAGATTGATTCTCTGTTGCATTTGCTGTTACAAACAACAGGATATTGTAAAAAAAATAAAAATAAAATAAAAAAGGTACATATACTGTATTAATGGGTCAAAAATTCAAGTGCACTATATGCCAACTGACTTTAAAAATAAAAATATATCATCTGCATCTTCGTGCTAAATACTTTCTCTCTGGTTTTATATTGCATTTACAGTTAATGCCATATTTACAGAATTCCTTCCCGAGTGTGGATATGTGGTGCAAAGCGATTTTTTTCAGCCAGATGGATAGAGGGATGGATTTACTTACGTATTCATTAATTTCACCCCAGTCCTTTTTCTGACAGCCCGTATAAATAAATGAGCGAAGCACCGCAGGTTCACTGCTCTAAGCGATCACCTCTCTCAGTGTGCCCGAGCATTTTTGAGAGGTACACAGTTTAAAAAGAAATGTCGTTGAACCATCTTACTAGAGGCAATTGTGTTGCAGTACACAAAATGCAAAATTTGCAAAAGGCATAAAATGTATTTGAACTTTATGTTCCCTGTATATCTCTCAGACAAGAACAATACAGATAATAAAAGTCTAGTATTTAAGTCCCTTTATTTTCATTATAAATTATTGTAAATTAGCTGCCAATTTCTTTTAACGTTGAATAATTAAGCCCGGCTATGTGCGTTTTTCCTTTGACAAATGATTTGACCAGTCTTTGTACCTGTAGGAAATCTGACAGTCATATACAGTGTTCGTATTTCATTCAATCATTTTTATTGCATCGAGGAAAATAAAACGTGTTTTATACACGGGACAAATTGTAACTAGTTTCCCGAAAAATAAACTGCTTATTACCATTTGCATGACAAAGCGGTATTGTGTAAGTATCCAGTTGTTTAGAAATAACAAGCTTTTGCAGAATATCAAATATGTTAAGTGTATCTGAAAACAGACAGCAACAAACAGTATCAATAGAAAATCAAGAATATTTACAACACAACAATAAACATAGTATTTCGTTTCACGTATAAATGAAAACGCTGGCTGTATTGCAGAATAACATTGTAGCGCATGCATTAAGAATTCAAAGCATGGAATGGGTACATGGATTAGAGTAACAAACTGTTTAAACTATCCATCTCAGAAGTTTCGGAGCGCTATGAGAACTGTTTTCAGGTTTTCCGCCAGTGATGATACGGCTCTCATTGTATTGGCAGCGAAGCATTGTTGGCTTTGGAAATACAAAAGACATAAAGCACGAAGACAGCACGCTGACGGTTCTCTGGAAGGCACGCAGCTAGGAAAAAAAAACACGCGCATTATTACAAAAAGTAATAAAACGCGTTTAAATACCCACAACAAAAAGTTTGTTTTTATTTCCCAAGGCTGAGTGAAGCCAGCAGAGTAAACACTGCATCATTGCATCCGCAAGGTGCTCCGAGGCCCCTCGCTGCTACCATAGCAACTGACAAAGAGAAAACAGCAGCGCCGCCTGCATGTGTGGTCGATGTCACCCCTGGCAACAGCCAATGGGAAGTTCCCTGACGATTCGCACAACCACGTTGAGGGTAGCGGGTCCTCAGGGTGGGTTTAAGACACGAATGTATCGCGACGATAGGAAAGCTTGCCCGTCAGTTCAGCGCCACAAAGCGTGGATTGGCGCAGCAGCGCTCATCTCCCGACGCTGTAATATGGCTTCTTCGGGTCTACCTTGTGGGTAAGGCTCGGTGGAGGACATTGCCACTGGCTTTTGAAGCGGGCAGCTCGGGCGATTCGTTTTCCCAAACGAAAAGCGTAACAATAGTCGGGGTTTCAAGTCTGCGGACTCGGTTTTGACTTCCTTTGCTTAACTGGAGATGTTTTCAAGGAGTTTAATGTGAAGGTATTTTTTGCACTAATCTCAAGCGAAGTAAAAGAGGAGGGACAGGTGTTTGTTAAGATACTGATCGTGCAGTTTGTTATTAAGAACAATTTAATTTGTATTAGAGTTGGTTCTGTTCCTGGAAAAGACAGTACGGCGGACTCAACGCCCCCTCTGTTGGGCGGACCCTTGATTTCGATTTTGTGGGTTACTCCTTTTCCCCTTACCCTGTTCTGAGACGTCTACGACTGAGTGTTATTGGCAGATTGTCAATTGCTCAGTACCACTGCCGTCACATAACTTAAAGCACACGCGGGTTGATGATTCGCCTCATAAATGTCAACGGCCATACGCCTTTTGCGCATTTTTACAGCGTTTAATCGATTTTGGCAGACGCATTTTTACAGTTTTTTAACCTGAAGAACTTTTTAAAAACATTTCAGCATTATTTTTCCAGCATTGCCTATGATTGTCAATCATTCACATGCATTCTATTTTTTCCATTTTTTTGTGAATTTCAATATTTTTAATTCGATCGAAATCGCCACTGTTGGTTACAATTGTTGTATGCGTTAATTTAATTTTTATTTTAAATTTACCATTAAGGCTTTGATTTTTTTACGCCAGTTGTCTTCATAAGTGCTGGATCCGAATTATATAAATGGAGATGATTTATACAAGTTCGCAAGACAATTTAGTGAAGAGGACGGGTTTAATAAAATACAGATATTAAAATTGCGAAGAGGTAAAGAACTAATACAAGACACCAAATAAGACGATTCTAACGGGATCAAAAGAGCAGAAGCTATCATTTTAATACTGAAATTATGCATTTATAGCAGAATATAGGCTATATATACAGGACACTTACGGCCACAAATGTAAGGTGTGAATTTATATGTTTGACGAGGACATTTTTTCCCAAGAAAAAGTAATTGCTTCCACGCGCGTTTTTCTCTTTGCCGTTAGTTACGGTAAATAAATGCATCGGTATTTTTCTTATTTTTTTACATGATCTAAATATTTCCCATTCGGTTTTTCTTGCCGCCATAAAGGAATTACGTTTGCATGTGATTGAATACATACAAAGTCTTCTTTTTCGTGGCTCGAGGAGAACGCATTGATTGTGTTGCGGCAGACTATGGACGATCAGACGCGGATGATGCAGGCTCTCGGCAGTGTCAGCCTAGCGGGACACGCGGTGCAGGGCGGCATGCAGCTGCCACCTCCGCTCGGACACGATGGCATGGACGGAGACGGCAGAAAGCAAGACATCGGGGACATTCTGCATCAAATCATGACCATAACTGACCAAAGTCTGGACGAGGCGCAAGCAAAGTTGGTGCTTTTTATGCATTATTTCACATAAGCATTGGTTATTGCATAAAGCAGTGTTATTGTGTTGGTTTGCTACACTGATATATTGGCGCTTTATTGTAGCTCACAAAACAGACGCCTAGGAATGAATGCACAGCGGTGACTGATTTTTTTCCCCAAAAGTAAAAAAAGTATAAAGCAAATGAGTTCATAGCACAAGCTGTCGCATTTATAATCGTGACCACGTAATGTCGACTCAGCCTTTACGTGCCCTTTTGACTTGGGTTCGACCAAAAGTTCAACTGGTGTAATTTTGAAATGTCGAAAATTTTTTACCGTGATGTCATCAACGTTGTAAAATCACTGCTGCTGTCCCAGACGGATCATTCAATGATTCACTTAATAAATCAGTTTTATATCTCATATTTATCTTATTGGAGTAGCCTATACCGATTGCTAATCTGTTGGGAAATTTATAAAATTTGGGTTATTTCTCAATCAGTAAGTTCAAACGGCCACTTTGAAAAATCGTACTTTCTCCTGAACGAGAGTACATGTAGAGTTGCTTCTTTCAACTAAAACCTGCAGGTTCATATTAGTTATACTGCAATTAAAGTTAGCTAAAACATTTAATTTCACATCTAGTTGGCAATTGTCTTTTTAGTAGTGCTTCGCGTAGACCGATGCAAGAATACACTTGTGAGGTTTGAATTGACCGCAGTCTATGCACATCCACAGCGGTTAAATTAAGAATCAATTGTATTAAAACTCATTTGCAGTTGTAGCTGTATATCTTTATCTGTATATTATTGGTTTTGTTTTAAACTGAAACAGGAAACATGGACTGAACTGCCACAGAATGAAACCGGCACTCTTCAGTGTGCTCTGTGAGATAAAAGAGAAAACAGGTAAGAGTTTTAAGTTTTT